CCCCTGGGGCGCGCAGGAGAGCGCGTTCTGGGAGGACTTCATATGACGTCCACTCAGAACTGGCCGGCCGCGGTGAAGCCGTCATTCGGCTATGCGCGGTCGGCAAGAGGTTAAGGTAAGTCCTTCATAAAGTGCTACCATGTGATGCATACTAGCACATTATGACATTACCTTGCAGGGGATTTTTTTTATACCGCTGTAATGTTGAAAAATGTAAAGTAATGCACTTGGGGGCTAAAAATTTGAACGCCATGGGAAAACCTCTGCAGGAATCCAAGATGGAAAAAGATCTGGGGGACCTAGATTCCAGATTCAGCACTAGCATTCAATGCCAAGCTACAAGTAAAGTTAGAAGACTGTTTGTAAAAAAGTGCAGCACTAAAATAAAAGCAAAAAATACATAAAAAATAAATTAAAACAAATACAGTTGCAAGAAAAAGTATGTGAACCCCTTGGGATTACAGGACGACCACGCCTAGGGAGAGTAGCAACAGTGCTAAACTTTCTCCATTTGTAGACAGTCTGTCTTACCGTGGACACATGAACATCAAGGCTTTTGGAGATACTTTTGTAACCCTTTCCAGCTTCATGCAAGTCAACAATTCTTGATCGTAGGTCTTCTGAGAGCTCTTTTCTGTGAGGCATGGTTCACATCAATTAGCTCTGGGAGAAGTCATTAAGCTAGGGCCTCACATACTTTTTCCTCCCTGCACTGTGAATGTTTACATGTTATGTGCAATTAAACCATGGCAACATCTAATGTTTGTGTAGTATTATGTTCAACAGACTGTGTTCTTCTATTGTTGTGACTTAGATGACGTTCAGAGCACATTTTATGCCCAATTCATGCAAAACTCCACGTAATCCCAAGGGGTTCACATACTTTTTCTTGCAACTGTATGTTATCTCTATTGGGACTATTAATATATATATATACATATATTTGTTTTAATTTATTTTTTATGTATTTTTTTTGCTTTTATTTTAGCGCTGCACTTTTTTACAAACGTTCTTGTGAGGATTATTATTGGTTATCCTGTGTGCCTAGCTGCTTTATTTGAAAAGCGCTCACTTATTCCATTTCACTTGCAAAGTTAGAAGACTATTGGCATGTGTTAAAAAAAGGGAATTTATTCAAGAAATAAGACTATAGTTCTGCCACATTATAAAACTCTGCTTGGGCTACATCTTTATAAAAATTCTTGATCAAATTATATAGAATATAGGGGATTCTACCAACCACCTACATAAAGCAATGATAGAGCTGAAGAGCAATAACCAATTCCCCTGGGACTTTAAAGGTAGAAAAGAGAGAGAAAATCAGGGTATCTTAAAAGACAAAAGTAAATTTTTATTTATAAACATATCTTGTTTGTAAAAAAGGAAGAACCCCATAGGTCCATAAAACCATATAAACGTGTGAATCATTTGATGTATGCAACACTATCTAGTAATGATACAGAGTACACACACACACCATCGAAGAACTGCCAAATAAGATGGTCAGTCGAGGTGTAGTCTTCAAATATGTCCCAACATGTTTCGGAAAAATCATTCCTTTTTCAGGGTAAAAATTGGGTATAACGATACCACAATACAATGAATGCAACATCAGTATGATACTAAGGTTGTTTGAAAAAACTGTTTAACAGCATGCTTTAAATAATGAGAGCAGATATGGTTGGGCCACATCTTGCGTATGCCATCCAGTTCTGGTCACCAGTCCTCAGGAAGGATGTGCTGGACCTGGAGAGGAGTCCAGAGAAGGGTGATAAATCTAATAAGGGGACTGGAGGACCTCACTTAAGAGGAGCAACTACAAACATAAACCTATTCTCACTGGAGAAGAGACACTTAAGAGGAGATAGGATAGTGATGTACAAATATCTAAATGGTGATTCTAGCATAGGGAGTAAACTATGCAGTCTCAAGTTAATTAAGAAGACGTGGGGCCACTTGAGGAAGTTGGATGAGAAGTGCTTTAACCTTAAACTGCATTAGGGGGTTCTTTACTGTAAATGCTGTAAGGATGTGGAACTCCCTTCCACAGTTGGTGGTGCAGGAAGTGACAATTTAAATCTCTTAGATGGGCATCTTAGGGAACACAATATACGGGGATATGGGAAATGTTATTAATATTAACACACACACCCACACAGGTTGAATTGGATGGAGTGATGTCTTTGTTCAACCTTACCAACTAAGTTTCTACAGTATGTAAGAGACCTTATCAGTCTCTTCTGTCATGCTTCCCCTTGCCTATCAACTGTCATGAACATTGAGCTGCACATGCACACTCATTGTACATTTACAGCACCTTATCTGTGTTGTGGTGATGTGACCTCCATGTGCATGTATAGGAATGACGTCATCGCGTCCAAGCCATTCCAGCAGCTGAACAGATTGAACCTAGAAGGAAGACCAGGTGAGGATGGAAGCGCTTGAGACCTGCAGGATCAGTGACAGCGCAGTGCTGAAGGGCAAACTGTGACTGGTAATGGTGCTAGTATGCTTTAAAGGACAAGTTCACTTAAAAGAAATAAAATGGGTGGGCGGAGCAATGCTGTAGGCAAATGATGAGGTGCGTGACATCATGCGCTTCATCTCACGTTTGCGCAGTAACAATATTGCAAGCCAAAGTATAATATATTTTTTTAAAATGACAGCACAGGGGCTGAAGGGGAAGGGAAAGCAGAATAGACATGTGTCGGTACTCTGACTTCACATTATCACCATTTCCTATATAGGAGAGGGGGAAGGTCCTCTTTAACCACTTCCATACCGGGCACTTTTACCCCCTTCCTGCCCAGGACATTTTTCAGGTTTCAGCACTCTCACACTTTGAATGACAATTGCGCGGTCATACAACATTGTACCCAAACTAAAATTTTATCATTTTCTTCACACAACTAGAGCTTTCTTTTGGTGGTATTTAATCACCACTGGGGTGTTTCTTTTTTGCTAAATTAACAAAAAAAAGACCGAAAGTTTTGAAAAAAAACAAAACACGTTTTTCTTTGTTTGTTATAAAAGTTTGCAAATAAATAATTATTCTTTATAAATTTAGGCCAAGATATATTCTGCTACATGTCTTTGGTGAAAATAACCCATATTAGGATGTATTATTTAGTTTGTAGGAAAGTTATAGAGTTCACAAACTATGGTATAGATCTGAATATTGATCAATCCTGAAGTACTGACAGCCAATCTAATTTCTTGAGGTCCAAGAATGTCAGAATAGTACAGATATCCCCCAAATGACCCCTTTTTGCAAAGTAGACAGTCCGACGTACTTCATAAGAGGCATAGCGAGTTTTTTGAAGTTGTATTTTATTTGTCATAATTTTTCAAAAATTTAAAAAATTAAAAAAAATTATTTTCACTATTTTTTTTTTTACATACTGTCACCAGTGCAGTACAGTGTCATCATATAACTGGCATGGCGGTGATCAGGGACACTGACTGGTGACAGTATGAAAAAAAATATATATAATTTTTTTTTATTTTGTTTATTATTTTTTCTTTTTTTTCTTTTTTTTCATATTTCACTATGACCAAAGTAGTACAATGTTACCATAGTAATATTGTACTACTTTGAAGAAGTGATCAGTATTTTTTTTTTTTTTTTTACACAATTTGCTTATAGCAAAGAATTACTTTGCTATAAGCAAGCATTTACCTGAATGACATTGATTCATTCAGGGCTTTTTTTTTTTTTTTTTTTTGTGCTTAGCTGTGATTTGGCCATGGCTAATCACATGACACAGCTGGGCTGTGATTGGACCAGCTTTTTGTGCATGTGATCGCTGTGACCATTCACAGCTAGACACACTAGTATACAATGGATGGCATGAATTAAGCCATCCATTGTATACAACTGTCATGTGACCTGCTGTGATTGGTCACAGCAGGTCACATGGTACCGGCAACGGAACCGGTACTCAGATCTGTCATCGGCCGTGTCCGAGGTACATGGCCGGTGACAGATCGTGCAACTGCGCATCTCTGCAGGCGCGCATGCCCGAAAGGACGCCATATGGCTTCCACCCGGAAAGGTGAGGGTTTTTGCCAGTCGCCATTCGGCCATAGGCCGGGTGGGAAGAGGTTAAATAGGAAAATGCAGGTTAAAAATTGTAGCATGGTCTTTTTTTTTTATTTTTGTGACGCAACATATTGATGGCATGGAGTCCTATAATTAATAATGGATTTTCTCACATGCATGCATTTTGCTAGTAAATTAGGCGACAATGTATCCGGTCAAAGTTCCCTCGCTAAAATTTCTGGATGATTTCCCCGAACCGCAGAGCCCCCGTGCGCAGAAAGTCAACGCTGCACTTGAAAGCAAACACGAACCAACCATTACATAAATGTGAAAGCGTTTAGCTCTTGGGCTGTCAGAGGCCAGTCATTTGTGCTGAAGTGGGTGCATTACCGCCGACAAACAGCTGCAAATTGCTCTTTTATAACTGCTGGGAAATCACTTGAAAAAAAAGGGACAATAATTTCATCATCTCCATCCATCTGAAGTCCTGGTGCCAACAGGCCAGACACAATTAGACGGCAGCTGTCATGCTCGCCTTTTTCACGGCGAAGGACATCCTCTTAAGCAGCTGTGAGACGCTCTGCGCCCACTTTGTAAAAAATTATTGATCAGGAGAGTTTAAAGGTCCCGGAGTGTTCTGGAAGGATGGCCGTATCACTGGGAAAAAGATCATGATTGATGACATGCAAATGAGGCTCCATTCACATAGTTTCAAGAACTTTTGGTCTAAATAAACTCTAATGGGAGCACCTGCAAAACGTATATGGAAAAAACCAAATGCAAAAACGCACACATTGCATGTTTTGTTTTTTTTTGCCACCTAATAACTAGCTTTCCATTGGCTACAGTAATTTTTTTAAAAAATGCCCCAGGGTTAAATGCCTGCAAAAATGCCCATACAAAGGCTCAAAAAAGCATAAATTAGCAAAATCATCAAAGACGCTCTGCTTAAGTGTGCAGTCTAAGGGCTCATTCACATGGGCGTGTAGTAGGCAGGGGCGGACTGACCATTTGGAAACTCGGGCACTGCCCGAGGGCCCGGGGTTAGTAGGGGGCCCCATGAGATGCCCCTGGTACCTTTTTCATTGGCTTTTTTGAGTTTGGCAAGGACACAGGGGCCCCATGATCCCCTATTGCCCGGGGGCCCCATGAGTTGTCAGTCCACCCCTGGTAGTAGGATTTCATATAAACCCATATTTCATATTATTCATATCAATTTGCATGTGTTATTAATATAATTATTATTATTGATAATTATTATTATACAGTATTTATAAAGCGCGATGCAATATACGAGGGGTTCGAGGGCCCTGCTCTTTCGAACTTACAATGTAGGAGGGAGGGGATAGTGGTACAGGAGAGATAGCTGTGGGGGATGGAGTGGTAGGAAGAGTGGAGGAGGTCGGCAAATTAGCAGGGGGTGGGGTAGGCTTCCCTGAAGAGATGGGTTTTCAGGGTACGCCAAAAGGAGAGGAGAGTAGGTGATAGTCTGATGGGTTGGGGCAGGGAGTTCCAGAGGATGGGTGACACCCTGGAGAAATCCTGGAGGCGGGCATGGGAGGAGGAGACCAGGGAACTAGAGAGAAGGAGTTCTTGTAAAGAGGCGGAGAGTGCGTATAGGGTGGTACTTGCATATTAGGTCAGTGATGTAGTTCGGGGCAGTATGATGGACAGCTTTGTACGTCAGTGTTAGGATTTTGAATTTGATCCGTTGCACAATAGGAAGCCAGTGGAGGGATTGGCAGAGGGGGGGTGGCGGAAACGGAGCGGTTAGTAAGGTGAATGAGTCTGGCTGCCGTATTCAGGATCGACTGAACTGTTACTAATATTAGTATTATTTTTTTATTATTATTATTATTATTATTAATAATTCAATATCAAGCAATTGTTGTTAGCCTTTAGAAAGTTGTATATTATTTCATAATAGAGAAAATGTACAATTGCAGTTGAGCAATTGACTGGACTACAAAATATTTTCAAGGATAATGGCATTCTTCAGACTAAAAAACAACCTTGATAAGAAATAAGATCTGTAGTGACTAGATTAAAATGTGAAAACTATGTACTTTCATTAGGATGACAGGTCCACAGGAAGAAAGTGAATTTAAGTGATTTTATACATGGCATGGTTGTCGGTACCAGCGGGGCTGGTCTGAATATTTCAAAAACTGCTGATCTACTGGGATTTTCACACACAACCATCTTTAGGGTTTACAGAGAATGGTCCGAAAAAGAGAAAATATTCAGTGAGCGGCAGTTGTGTGGAAGAAAATGTCTTGTTGAGGTCAGAGGAGAATGGGCAGACTGGTTCGAGATGATAGAAAGGCAACAGTAACTCATGTCAATATGGACCAAAATCTCTGAGAAATGTTTCCAACACTTTGTTGAATCTATGCCATGAAGAATCAAGGCAGTTCTGAAGGCAAAAGGGGGTCCAACCTGGTACTAGCAAGGTGTACCTAATAAAGTGGCTGGTGAGTATATTTATAATTAATATTGTGCATATTTATGTAACGAATCTATAAATACATAGAGTTGCAAGAAAAAGTATGTGAACCCCTTGGAATTACGTGGAGTTTTGCATGAATTGGGCATAAAATGCTGCTCTGAACGTCATCTAAGTCACAACAATAGAAGAACACAGTCTGCTGAACATAATACTACACAAACATTAGATGTTGCCATGGTTTAATTGCACATAACATGTAAACATTCACAGTGCTGGGAGGAAAAAGTATGTGAGACCCTAGCTTAATGACTTTTCCCAGAGCTAATTGGAGCCAGGAGTGAGCCAACCTTGACTCCAATCAGTGTGATGATATTGGATGTGTTGCTGACAGCTGTCCTGCTCTTAAAAAACACACACCTGGTTTGGGTTTACTGGTTTCAAGAAGCACTGTCTGATGTGAACCATGCCTCGCAGAAAAGAGCTCTCAGAAGACCTACGATCAAGAATTGTTGACTTGCATGAAGCTGGAAAGGGTTACAAAAGTATCTCCAAAAGCCTTGATGTTCATGTGTCCACGGTAAGACAGACTGTCTACAAATGGAGAAAGTTTAGCACTGTTGCTACTCTCCCTAGGTGGGGTCGTCCTGTAAAAATGATTGCAAGAGCACAGCGCAGAATGCTGCATGAGGTAAAGAAGAATCCCAGAGTGTCAGCTAAAGACCTACAGAAATCTCTGGCACATGCTAACATTTTTGTTGACACATCTACAATAAGGAAAACATTAACCAAGAATGGAGTACATGGGAGGACACCACGGAGGAATCCATTGCTGTCTAAAAAGAAGATTGCAGCACGTTTGAAGTTTGCAAAAGAGCACCTGGATGTTCCACAGCACTACTGGCAAAATATACTGTGGACAGATGAAACCAAGATTGAGTTGTTTGGGAAGAACACACAACACTATGTGTGGAGAAAAAAAGGCACAGCACACCAACATCAAAACCTCATCCCCACTGTAAAACATGGCGGAGGGAGCATCATGGTTTGGGGCTGCTTTGCTGCCTCAGGGCCTAGACGGATTGTTGTCATTGATGGGAAAATGAATTCCAGAGTTTATCAAGACATTTTGCAGGAAAACGTACGACCATCTGTCCGCCAACTGAAGCTCCGCAGAGGATGGGTGATGAAACAGGACAATGACCCAAAGCATACAAGTAGTTCTACAAAACAATGGCTGCAACAGCACAGAATACGCCTTCTGGAGTGGCCCAGTCAGAGTCCTGACTTCAACCCAATTGAAATGCTGTGGCATGACCTTAAGAGAGCGATTCACACCAGACATCCCAAGAATATTGCTACACTGAAACAGTTTTGTGAAGAGGAGTGGTGCAAAATTACTCCAGATCGTTGTGCAGGTCTGATCTGCAACTACAGGAAAAGTTTGGTTGAGGTTATTGCTGCCAAAGGAGGGTCAACCAGTTATTAAGTCCAAAGGTTCACATACTTTTTCCTTCCTGCACTGTGAATGTTTACATGTTATGTGCAATTAAACCATGGTAACATCTAATGTTTGTGTAGTATTATGTTCAGCAGACTGTGTTCTTCTATTGTTGTGACTTAGATGACGTTCAGAGCACATTTTATGCCCAATTCATGCAAAACTCCACGTAATACCAAGGGGTTCACATACTTTTTCTTGCAACTGTACATATATAGAACTGTATGATTAAACACTTATAAGACATTTGACACACAGAGTGTGGTCAACAAAGGTAAGTTTCCAAAGTTGCAAACATGTTTTTGTACTTGGGATGGAGAAAGTCTTATTAGGACACAAAGTTTGATTCAATAATGAACATGTTGGGAGTCATACTTTCTCTAGATAAGGTTTTTAACCGCTTCCCAACCGCCATATAGCAGAAGTACGGCTACAGGGTGACAGCATAGTCAGAATATCATGCAAGGAGTTGCCCACAATTGGACTACATAGGGCGACAATTCACCTGGCAAAGGTTCATCTTCAAGTAGTGACGCCCGGGCTACAGTGGGCATAGGGCCGCACAGGTCTTCCATTCCGTTCCTACCTTGGCACATGGTAGGATCCTCAGACAAGTCAGTACAGTCCATGGTACGGGATGGGGTCACTGGGTTTCCTGACACCAGAGCTGTCAGACTTGGAGCTGTTGGAGGCCATAGACTTGAGCATGAGGGGCCTAAGGCACCAGTGGAGGATTGGTGGAGTCAAATGCCTCACAATCATCAGCAGGCTATTTGGAGCAGTCACCACTTTTTACCACAAGAGTCAGATACCATCTCCTTGTGCTTGTCCAACACTAGCTGCTAAACCCAACAAAGTTCCAGTACCCAAGAACTGGGCATTCGGGGCAGAAGGTGCTCATGGTTTGTCAACAGGAGGTCCATGGGCATCTGGCTATATCGCCCGAACAATAGGAAGAAGAATGTGTGGATAGTGGTGTTGTAGGCCCACACCACAGCCCCGGAACGTTGGTACTCCCGGTCTCAGTATCTCAGTTCTGAAATCTGCAGCATGCCCAGCAGGGTGCAGTTGAACTTCTCACAGGCTCTATTACTCTGGGGGTGATAGGGGGTGGTGTGGGACTTCTGGATGCCATTGAGGAGACACAGTTCCATCATAATCACCAATTCAAAGTTCAGGCCTTGGTCCAAAAGGATCCACTTTGGGCAGCCATAGGGTTGGACGATGTACTCCCAGAAAAGCTTGGCAGTGGTAACAGCTGTTTGGCCTTTTGTGGGCATCACCACCACGAATTTGGTGAAGTAATCAATGAAAACCAGCACACAGCAAATCATCAGAAAGTCCATGGTCACTAATTTGAAAGGTTCAAAGGTGGTGATGGTAATGTGTGTTGTCTTCTCAGAGGGAGCATTGTGTATGGTACAGCTTTCGCACTCCTGGCTGGCTTTGTGTACCCAATCCGACAGGTGGGGGCAGAAGAAATTTCTCAGAACCATTGACTCAGTCCGATCTGCCCTGAAATGGCCACCCACAGTGTGGAGCACCCAACAGATTTGTAGGATTTGCAACTGGAGGACCATGACTTGGAGGATATACCGCTGCCAGAAGGGATGCATGCCTGACTGTAGAGTATCTTGTCCCACAATTCCAGCCAATCCCATTCCCTTAGAATTGCTTGAGCAACAGGGGTCAACTTCTGGCACTCCCAGGAGGTAGGTTTGTATTTGTGGGAGAGATAGCAAGAGATAGTGCCACCTTGGCCCGTGGTCAGGGTCCTGTTCCTTGATGAGGCAGCTAGTATGGGCAGTACAGGAGCGACCTCTATGTCCTCCCAGTTAGAGTCCACATCCTCTCCTGTGCTCTCCACCGGAAACCAGGACAGGATGTCTGCATGCGCGTTAAGATTTACTAGCTGGTAGTGGATCTTGAGCTTAAATTGTGTCAGGTAGGCAGTCCACCTCTGTTCTAGCACCCCAAACTTTGCTGTCTCCAGATAGGCCAGGGTGTTATTGTTCATGGTGACTTCAATCTCGACCCTCGTGAGATATTCCACAAATGTTTGGGTGATTGTGAGTAGCTCAAGCTTAAAAGAGCTGTAGTTGAGAGGGTTCTTTTTGGTGGGCCATGGACTATGGCTGGCATAAGCTATCACTCTCTATCATCCATTCTGCACTTGGGCCAAGATGGCCCCCGGACACTGGAGGCTTCGATTCGTATACAAGCAGA